GTTTCAAGACTTGTTGGAAGTATTCCCACAGGAGGCGATCGAACTGGCTGACTACTTTGAGGACGCGTACGTCGGTCGACCACGTCGGAACGGTGTCAGCTCGGCTCAATTTCCTCCGAAACTGTGGTGAGTGTACGAGGCGGCACGTGATGGAATGCCGCGGACAAACGACAGTGTGGAGGTGTGGCACTATGGGCTACAGGTAAGTGCTCATAATTTTATTTCTTCTTAATTTATCTCGCATACGCAATTTACAGTTTTTATATTGTATTTCTTATGCTCCTATTTTCATTCTTCAGAGCAACGTGAGGTGCACTTCACCAAAGATCTGGGTGTTCCTCGACTCCTTGAAAAAGGAGCAGGCCCTAAGCGAAACGAAGCTCAGTCAAGCGGCAAGCGGGGTCACTGCCACAAGGGTGTCGCGGAAGAAGGAGGCATTCAACAAACGCCTTCAAAGAATTCTTGAACGCTACGATGGAACAGACAACATGGATATCCTCGAGGCTTGCGGTAGAAGTATAACATTGTAAGCGAAGGGGTCTTGGCAGAGTTACAGATGCGAGTAAAACTCCTTCGGTGAACTGACATGTGTGTGGTTGTCCTCTAAAAATTAGTAGGACATAGTTATAACTCACTGCGGTGCGCCCACAGAAGTAGTTAGCGTCTATTTCGAAAATAGAGTATTTAGGCTAACTTTTAAACATATACTACAAAGGAAAGTACCAAACAAGCGAGGAGCTCCGTTTGTGAATATTCATTTCGAAGCACTATACTTGATAAACTGGGAAAATTAAACACATAAGAAGCTTTTTCAATAGGGTGACGAATTGTCATCATGACGATTTGCCCTATGACGAAGTGCCCTATGACGGATTGCCCTATGCGATAAAGTGCCCTGCTACGAGTTGCCCTGCTACGAATTGTCTTTCGATGAACGGTCTTACAGCCTTTTCGTCGCACCGAAAGTGGCCGAGGACATGGAAAAGAACAAACAGTCAGAACTGCACAACAAAAAGCTCGCAAGGTTGATGCCCCCGGAACCAACTTTACAGAACGAGAAACGGACTGTGTTCAACTACTCTTCCAGGGAATTAACAGACCATCACGTGAGTCTTCTTTCAAAAGGTCTCAACTTTGCAATGACACCTCAATACGTCCCCAAGCGTGACTTCATTGTCGAAATCGAGGAGAAACTCCGCCACATATCTAGCGAGACTGGCGTCAACCTTGCCCGGAGTCGTGTGCTGTCCATTTTGAACAATCCCAAGCCGCCGCAGCCAAACCTGGACCAGCATGAACGCAAGGGGTTGCAGGAGTTGCAGGAGTTGAAAGCTGATGAGCCGATCGTCATTTTACGAGCTGATAAGGGTGGGGGAACGGTGGTTCTCGACAAGACCGACTACGACCAGAAAATATATAATGTTCTTAGTAATCCCGCACACTTTGTCAAACTAGCCCGCGACCCAACTGGGAAAACCGAACGTTCGTTAGTTGATTACCTCTGGGAACTTCGAAAGAAGGGCAGGATGAATGGTTCTCTGTACCGCCGCATTTTTTCCTCCGACGGATGCACACCTAAAATGTACGGCCTACCTAAAGTGCACAAGCCAGAATGTCCTCTGCGCCCTATTGTATCCTTTATCGGTAGCCCCACTTACGAGCTGTTAAAATATTTGGTAGAGCTACTGGCGCCGTTGACAGGCAAAAATGGTCTTTGTGTGCAGAATTCGCAAGAATTCGTTCAGTTAGTCCGCACCCAAACCCTCCTTCCGAATGAAGGCCTGTTTTCTTTTGATGTAGTTCCCTTTTCACTAATGTTCCTAACGATGGTGCCATTGATGTCGCACGCGAGCGTCCACTTGACGATCAAAGCCTGGGAGCACGCACGTCCCTTCACGTTGATGATATAATTTTACTTTTGCGTTTTTGCTTAAACCAATGTTTTTTCGCCTTCCGTGGAGAGACGTATCATCACGTGAACGGGTGTACAATGGGAAGCCCGGTATCTGTCAGTGTTGCCAATCTCGTTATGGAGCATATTGAGGAGAAAGTGCTGAAAAAAGTTCTGTTCCCGGTCAAATTTTACCGCCGATATGTGGATGACACTTTCGTCATTTTAGATAAAAGTCATGCTAACGATGTTCACCGGGAGTTAAACAGTGTTCCCCCCGCTATACAGTTTTCTTGCGAGGCAGAACAGCAGGGCAAGTTGCCCTTCCTAGATGTATCTGTAATGAGGACAGGCGAACCGATCCACAGGATTGAAATGGGTGTGTACCGCAAACCATGTGAAATAGATAATTTTTGGGGATTTTGTCCCATCACCCAATGCAACACAAGAAATCAGTAGTGCGATCGTTTGTACTCAGATCAATTACGGTGCCATCTAACGAGCTCCATGGCGCAGATGAGATGACTCATTTACAGGAAGCTTTAATGAAACGTCGCTACCCAAAGCGTTTTGTTGGCGAGGTCAAAAACCAAATGAAACAAATTGTGCAACCGTGCGAAAGGGAAAGAGATAAGAATGTAGTGTGCATCCCCTATGTCAAAGGAGCTTCCGAACCTCTCAGTCGCGCTTTGAGGCCCCTCGGCATTCGAGCTGTTTTCAAGCCATACAGAAATATTGGCAATTCCGTTCCAAACCAAAGGACCCAACCCCGGCAAACGTCCAGAGAGGTGTTATCTATAGGGTGTGTACTTTCCGGTGTTTATTTGTGACAAAAATCGGCGGATGTTTTTCGGTGTTTATTTATTTTCAAAACACCGACGTATTTCGGTGGAACATCTCACGATGAGGCTAAAAACGGTGATTATCGGTGAAAAAAAAAGCGATTGATCACAGACAGAGAGTTCCAATTTTGTTCACATAGTTCATACACTTCTTCTCTAGGAAGCAACTATTTCTCACACTTGGTTACTATAGTAGATGCAACCATACTTTCATGCTTGCATCTACACGCAAGGAACGTGCTGCCATCATGGCAGCACGTTCCTTGCGGTTCGCAACCCGCAATTATGAAAACGCACGCTCCTGTACGACACGGACGTCGGCAGTGTCTTCCAGGAACCACAGCAACCTCTGAATACATGGCTGGCACCGACATCATTTGGCCAGACACAATGTGGAAAAGGCACGTGAGAGCCTACCCTCCACTGTGTTAATTTTTACACAAAAAAGGGACATGGGAGACACAATAGGGGAAAGGCGTATGAGAGCTTAGCTTCCACTGCGTTCACCAGACGCTTTTGACCCCCAGAAAGGAGGGCGGACTGGCGCCACCTGAAAGCCATGTATAAACACTGGAAGAATGCAGGATCCACGAGATAACACGTTTCACGAACCTCTACGGGGAAAGGGCTTCGCTAGGTCGGAAAATAGCAACGACCGATGTTTTTCGGTTTTAACCAGGGCGAAAATATCGAACCACCGGTGTTTTTCGGTTTTAACCGATTTTATATTTTCGTCACCGACGGATGTTTATCGGTGTTTTTCGGTTAAAACCGGAAAATGCACACCCTAGTTATCTACTACATCGCCTGAAGTGACTGCCCAGCGTCCTACATTGGTGAAACCGGACGGAGGAGAGAGACCAGACTCAAAGAACACAAGCGTGACGTCACGTACGCATTCCACGCGACGCGACTGAAGACTGAACTGGTGGATCATGCGTGGACATTGGGGCATTCTTTTGACTTTCCGGCCGCGACGACCTTGGCCAGGGAGGACAGATGGGGGCCCCGAAAGCTCCTAGCATCGTGGTTTGTTCGCAGGGACACATCCGTGTGCGATTTCGAAAATACTGTTAGGTGGGGTTGCTCAAAAAATCGACATAGCACCCCTTTAAGCTATTTTTTTTTCTTTTTATAATACTTCACTTGATGCTACTGCGACGCGTAAGTTTTCTTTTCCTAATGCCTTGTTTGGTGCCACTGAAACTTAGGTTTTTTCCCGCAAGCTTTCGATGGCTTTGACGGACCTGCGTTATACATTTCGACTAATCTGAAACCCCAGCAATACAGTTTTTCTTCTTCGTCTTCTTCTTATTATTATACGCAATATTGACGGTACGTATATACTCATAAGAATTCACCAAGTGCTTTAGTCTCTCGGGTCGGCTGTCTGTGCCGGTGACCACCGTCGAAAATGTCGCGGATATCAGTCATAACAAGACTTTCGAGGAGTCACCGCTCTTTAGATTTTCAATGCTACGGACGGCCGGTCGTTGTGCTAGGCCCGTTCTTCATTTTCGCGCTGCGAAAACCTTGTCTGCAATCTAGAGATGTGCTGATAATTTGTTTAGGGATCAAAAAGTTTCGTGTCCAATTTTCACGAATTTTAATGGAAGTTATAAGAAAATCACTATATGTTAAATGTGTGTGCATCTCTATCAACTCCGTGATTAAGGGAACGTTAAACGTGGAGTATATTGTTATCACTAATGTTAACAAATGTTTAAATGCCGTAATAATTACTAAGAACAAGTGCCCACACAAGGCAATTTGAGAATATCTTAAAGGCTTCGATCTACGTGAACTGGGACAGATATGTTGTAGAAACATTCCTAGATACGTACAGGTAGAAACTAAATGGATTCAATAAAAACTGCACGTGGTCCGGGATACAGTACAACATTGATAAGCACTTTCTGCGTGAGCAGCTGCAGAACTTCAATAATAGGCCCGTTCGATTTAGCTGCTCCTCCTGCACCGGTGCACAAGAGTGTTGGGCGGTATACTTCCGGTTGTATCTGAATACTAAAACGGGGAATACACTGCTCTACACTCTTTTGCTCCAGTGCAGAAGCGGCAGGTCAATCGAACGAGCCTATTTTTTCCGGCGTCGTATTCCTAGGCATATACATATGTATATGTTCATAAATAACAATAACAACTATTTTAAAAGATGCAGGCACTTCATCTCATGATAGAACTCAAGATGCGGTACAAAAAGCAAATAAGTGTTTTGTTATATAGGACGCCTCTCAATTGCTACTAACCTGGGGTTGTTCGATCGAAGGAAAACGCCAGCATATAAGCAGCACCTGTAAAAAGCAAGAGAAAACAAAACAACAGAATAATATAGGTTTAGCCGAAATATTGTGCCAATTAATTCCACTTGAATGCCAAACGCATTAAAACAACCACGAATAACACAATATTAACAAACAAATGAGTAAGTTTAAGTGAAGTTTATACGACGTTGAGTAGGTTCAAATGGTGCTATTAAAACACGCGCCTAGAGTGTTCGCAATGCTGCTGAAACAATAGCGCTGGCTGTTGAACTGTTTGGGAGCAATGCAGCGTGCTGAAAAGTTCCAATGTTTTGTGCGATGCTTTGTTAGTTTATGATCACTCACCCTCGACGCAGGCGTGACTTGGCACGAATTGGTGCCGGTGGAAAGCGGACGCGAAGCTAGAAATAGGGGCTAAGGGAACCACCGTGCATTTCACAAAGACCCATAGGCACTAAGAGCGGTAAGAGCCCGTCAAGCCCTGCACTGTATTCTGGAACTCCAAGACGATCACACGTGCTGAGTCGAAGCAACCAGTTCAACACATCTAATTGATTAACTGCATCTTTCTCAAATCCAACTTCTGCTTATTTGCCACTGCAAAAGTGATGTCTCTTCAAAATAAGATATACGCTTAGTGACCCAAGAAACGCGGTCTTTGCACTATCTAACTCTTAAATTGGCCGTGCAACGATATTTGCTTGGGATAATTTTCACTTTATGGTACGTTTACGCTCGCGGATCCGCTAGCAAACCCGCCCAACTTTTGCCGCTGGGGCGAAGCGCTGGGCGGAAAACGCGGTGGCGAGCCGTATAGGTCCAGGACCTATTTCTGCCACCGAACGAGGCGTTTCGGTAACCGGAAGTGACATTCTTGCGCAGCGCGACGCTGCCTACGTCACGAGTACGCGTTCTTCCTGTTTGTTTTTGGCAATGGCGTCGACGGCACAGAAGACATCCAGCGTCGCTGGCATGGCTGGCGACGAAGACACCTCAATCGTCCTGTTGGTAGTACTGCTAGTCATACGAGCGAACACGAGGAAGGAGGCAGCTTGCTTGTCCCGTCCTTTCGCGGCCTAGAAAGCATGGGTGGACCCACCACCGCCAATGGCGACGCTGCTTTTTCGGTGTTCGCTGCTCCTATTCCTCTATCGCAAGCAGGGAAGACGAGAGAATAATCTTCGTATTCTCCTCTTCTTCCTCTACATAATCATCCATTTGCTTCGCGCTGTTTTGCCGTTTGGAATGCAGCGTCAACGTGAGGCTCACGCATACTTATCGAGCCAAAAACAGCGAGTCTGGGGAGCACCAATGCCCGATAGAGGCAGCCGAGGTGGGAACTCCCGCGAATTCTCGTTATAATTGACGAACTTTTACGAGAACAGCTACCACAGCCGGCGCCGCCGCCACTCGGAGGAAATAGATGTAAACACAACCCGCTCGTCGCCACCGCCGTCGGGAGCGAAAACGCTCCCGCGGCAGCGGATTTCTTCTCAGGTGTAAAGGTAACATTACACTAGCAGTGGGACCCAAATACACTCGCACGCAACGCCACTGACAGAGAAACATCTTTGTTGCTGTGTCATTCCCAGGACAAAAGCGAGCATTTTCTTTCATTCGCCACTTCACAACAATTGACGGCGGGATTTGTTTTGTGTGTATGTTTATACGGCCTGAAGTTCGTTTCGCTAAACAGTCGACTTGTCTCTCAGCTGTAGAGGAGCAATTTAGCCAGTGCAGTACAACCGCTAGGCTGGACTCTTTAACGTGCACCAAGCTCTATAGAGATACACGACCGCACGCAGGCGCGGTCGTGTATTGCTATATTGGCGGGCGGTGGGGATTGGGGGAACCCAGGATTTCTGGGTTCTGCAGCGCGAGCTTTCGCATCGCGTGCTCCGAGCTGGTGTGCGCGAGCCCACTCGTCCACCGATTCCCTTTGCTGACGTAGCTGGGGAACCGCAGTATTTCCCAGTGACGATCGTTGAATGCGGCTCGTAGATTGGACCCGAGCATTGCGTGAGCCCTCAATTTAGGCTAGTGATAATCAATAGCTCGACAAGTATTCGGGTAGTGGCCTGTGTTCAATGGCTGCAATGACGACAATAGCTGAACCTCAATGAGTGGAACTTAGTGCGTGATTTTCCTGTGCTTTGCCAACCACAGCGTGTGGCTATGTGATGAACATTGGCGGCATATAATCGGCTCCAGATCACTGGCCGCTAGTTCTGGCTGCCAGTTGATGGGGGAACACTGGTCGTTTTTTATAGAGCGAAGCTGTATATGACTCGTCAGACGGATTTTCTCTTGCCTAAATCCTCACAAAAAAACAAAAAACAAAAAAACATTTGTAGCGATTGAAGCGAAAAGTTCATACATCACGCATACAGCATACTAGACAGCATTCGTTTCTATAAAGAACAAGTACAAAACAAGCATTCGAACCAGATAATTGATGATAAGAAACTCCTGATAACAATGCCAAGCACGTACCGGTGCATAGTTACGGCTCCCGAGGAGCAGCGTGAATACGAGGAGCGGCAAAGGGAAAAGAGACGGCAGTACGATCATCGGCGGCATCTAGTATAGTGCAGTGGACAATCGCTGCAGCTGATACCACAGCTTCGCTGGCCAACCACCTTCGCAGTTTGAATTGGAGCCCCAACGTTTTTTAAAATATTTTTGCGACCTCTATTGCCTGTGGGAAAAAACGAACGCGTGTTTCATAGGTCCTTAAAGGGGCAGTGCAACGGTTTCAATGTTGAAAGAATTGCCAGTTTGCATTTTTTATATTGTTTATACAAGCCCAAATGACCAAAAACGCGCCACCTTCCCCCCCTACCCCCCCCCCCCCCCCCGCAAAAAAAAAAAATAAAAACGGCTATTTTTTTTGCGTAATCGCAAGGCAAAAAACGAATTATTTGCCGATCGGCAGCCGCCGGTGGCGGCTACGGGAACTAAAATGACGGCGTCTCTGGGGGATACGCAGAAGTCAACAATCACTGTCCCCCTCCGCTGCTACACTCGCCGTCAGCCCCGTGGTGAACCGTCCTTTGTGTCCATCGCTCGCCGCGACCTTCGACGAGTCTAATCCTTTGAAAGTCGACAATCGCGGAGGAAGCGGCTGGGGTCTCTGAAGATAGGGCCCAAGGCGAAACCACGCGAACCGGCAGAGACGTCACTTGAAAGTCGGCGCGGAGAGTTGAGAGGCACTTCGACCTTCGATTTGTTTCATTTTTTTTTTCTAAAATAAGAACTAGCGCTCGCAAGAAAATGCGACTTTCGGTTTTTCGTTTCATAGGTAATGCAGATTCGTTTCCGCAGTTAATTGGCCAAAGCCTGAAAATCGTTGCACTGCCCCTTTAACATCGGGGATTCGTTCTAAGTGGTACTTGCGCGAAGTACAAAAATGACTGAATCGCCCCTTGAAGCTTTTACTCGATCTCCTAGCACATTTCATTTTCATGTTTGGTGAATGATACTTTTTGAAAACTCCTCTGCCACTACAACTCCTTCCCTGAGATCTTCCAGATAAAATTAGTGCAGCCAACGGAGGCCTATGCGGAGAGCAAGTTCGTCTGCTTTTTGCGCAGGGGTTGCGGTGACGTCGTAACGCCGAGCTTTGGTTGGCTCTGATTGGAAGGAAAGTTGGGAGACTTGAATGCTATGTGCCTTGAGGCTTCCCCACTTGACTTCGAAATGTAGCCAATCAGAGCTCGGGGTTCCAACGTCTCTGAAACCCCTGAGCAAGAAGCAGACAAACTTGCGCTCCCAAGAAAAGCAGGGCGTGGCATATTATGTTAATTTACTCCTCGATCTCTGATTGATTCTTGCACGTTTTTATCAGGCAATGCTGCAATCTGATTGGCTGAAGGGATAAGATTCTTGGAACTCGTCACGCCCTACGTTTCTTAACGTCGTAGTGGCCATAAGAGGACAGAACCCATTTTGTATGTCTTTAAAGTATACATGTATGATAAAATATCGTTGCAATCAATGGCCCTTTACGAAAGTAAATTTACTAACCTGTGCAGAGCCAAACCCGACGCTCTAATAGCGGCACTACGCAGATTCTCCACATGAGAAAAGCGAACGTCTTCAAAAACATAGTGCAGACAGCGGAAAAGATGTCGGTCCTTTTACGTCACCTCCAATTCACGAAGTCGAGGGTGCTTGATTTAGGCGAGCATGATCTCCTCTCACCGCCATTAGAGCGGAAATATTGGAGCTTCTGCGGTTGCAACAAGAGGACTCCGACATTTGAAAAGGGCCTATTGTCACTTTTGGGAAAGGGAATAATAGTTGCATCGGGAATAAAACAGGACGTAAAATTACTTACGTTCAAATAAAAGTAGAGTTAGGAGTAGACGCTTCATGTTCGCTGAAAGGAAGATACTCGAATGCATATCTTCAAGCGAGGCCAACGGCGCCCGAGTTATCGCTCACCCTCTCTATCGGATCCCATTGGCGGCCCTGTTGGCTATCTCTCACGAGCCACCAATGAAACCGTCGCGATGTGAGGGCAGACAGCCGCGTCGAAATATGATACACGGGCGGGGAAACTCGACGATCTCTTTCCCACGTTTGCAAACTGCGCACTCGCTCTACAGGAGTCCGACGCACACTACCAGGGAACTACTCTCGTGGGTCTTGCTCAGCCAACCAAGAATTTTACCAAAACCTTTTTGAAAGTTCCTCATTATTTCTAACTGGCCCTTCACAGCACGTCTTGGAGTGACCATGTGAAACGTCGACACCAATAGGATTTACTCAAAATACCATCTGCTAAATGTTGTCAGTGAGAAGGCAGATCGGCATCGAGACTGCATGACGATAACCGTTTCAGTGGCAAATGAGGGGACACAAATAATTATGGCACTAAGACAGCATGTCAACAGGTACGACGTACCGATCGCCCATATTATTGGTTGAACAGTTGAAAGGAAGAGCTATGATTATAATTTCCCATGGCGTACACTCTAAAAAAACGTTTGTGCGTTTACTTTCACGCACCCAACCCTCGGAGACCTAATCACCGCAACTTACGGAGGCAGCTCAGCGAATAACAATACCGAGACATATGTTTAGACGAAAAACCGCAGTCTGAGTTGTGACATTGAGCAATGCAAAACGTCACGCTTGGATTGCTTAATGTCACAACTCAGTCTGCGTTTTTTGGTCTAAAGATATGTTTCGGCATTGTCATTCGCTGAGTTGCGATAATTGGCTCTCCGAGGTGTTGTAAGGGAAAGCAGACGCACGGGCTTTTTTAGAGTATACACCTTCCCAAAAAACGCTCCTAGGCCGCCGCCATGTTGCTGACGCTGATGTGGCTGGTGCGACTCTCGCGCCCTCTATCAGCTAGAAATTTTCTGCCACTCCCTGGGACTGTGAAGACCCGCTCAGCGCGGTTCTCTACCTGCTTTTTTGCGGTTTTTCATTCGAAGTTTTCTCGCCCCTCTTGAAAGTTTCCACTTAATGTTCTTCCATGCACGCTGCGTACCCTTTTTGTGTTATCTTCCACTGAAAGAAATAAGGCTGGTAAGTGCCTGCCATTCAAGCTTTTCTGCTCGACATTCCCGGGAAACGAAGGAGGTGAAGGACGTCGAACGACCCTCGACGCGATTTTGCGAACATTGTTCTCCCCCCTCCCAGAGATAATCCGCGTAGAATCCTCAGTCATCTCCGAAAATAGTTGTCCGGTTGGGGTGAGAAACGGGTCAGTCGCGTTTGTTTCTTTGCCTTGGTGCGGTTGTGAAAAAAGGAAGCTCTCCCCAAAACGTCCCCCAAGACGAAGTTTTCTAGGATTCCGTCCGATCGCCAAGATGCGACTGTCGTCCACTGTGACTGTGTTATTTAAAATCTTTCTCAAATAAATTCTCTTCGGATAACGCTGCATCGTGTGGTACGTACGATATATTGTTCGAATGCTACCACTTCCTCAATTGTATGTCCGTGTCCTGTCCATCGGTAAACACGTTATTTGTGAGCTTTGAAGAATGCATGCCTTTCGGCCCTCTTCTGTTCCAATTTATTTTTGACAGCGAAGCGCTTTGTCGTTTCACATGCGACGAATCCCGCGGCGCCGTCGAAGCTTATCCTAAGAAAAACACAAATAACTAGAACTATACATTCCAGTCGCATTCGTTCTGTCGCGCGCGTACCCAACAACAATAGTTTACAGTTTTTTTTTTTTTTTTTTAAATGTGGCACAATGCTTTCTCATTGTCCTCAGGAAAATACATGTACCATGAAACACAAAATATAGTGGTAAAAGACGAGAATTTAGCCGCCAGCAGCGTTTGAAACTGCGCCTACGCAGGCTGCGCCTATTGAAATCACAGTCCACTCGGTTAGGGTTGGGAGGGACGCCGGTGAGAGTCTAGCCTCAAACTCAGTGACTGGGCTCGAAAACGGTTTGTTGCCCCTGGGGTCGAGGGTTTTTTGGAAAGGTGTATAGGCAGGGGAAGGGAGGGCGGGGGGGGGGGGGGGGGGTCAAAACCGGCCCCCGAAATGCCTAAGCTACTTATCAACCCCCCCCCCCCCCCGGGCCCGGTCGCTCCCCTGCTCACGCAGTCGTTTTTGATCGGGTCACGGAGCAAAGGGGGGAGCGCGGACTATCTCCGACTTATTTGCTTTCGGTAAATATATATCTGGCGTAGAAAATTCTGACATACACAAAATAGGCAATATTTCTTCATTCATGTTTATTTGATGGGATGCGGGGCTTCCTCTTATATATAGAGAGAACGCATATTTTTAAACATTTGTGGGGTGAAGGAAGGGCTATTTCAAGGCAAAGCATAACAAACTTTCCTCACTGAAATGCACAGTTCAATCAAACCATTGCGGACATAATAAAACAAACATGTGGCGATAATCTAAAACAGTCAGTGATGCAAGGAAGAATGAACGCTTTGTCAAAATAATTGCACTGTAAGCAACGGTTGGCACTGCGCTGTCGCACACCTTGTGTATTGGTCATAATTGCGTGCTTTCGACTAGAGATTACCGCGAGAAAAAAATTAACTGTGACTAGTTATTTCAGAAAGCAATTTACAGGCTCTCTTGACCATCTCATTTATGCCAAGCGCTTACACATTAAGATGCAGCCGCCTGCGTTTATGGCAAAGAATACCCAAAATGTCCACCGCTCGAGCTTGAATGTCGCGGTGAACATTCAAATATAGACGGAGCACTCGCGCATTCGAAGTGGACGCTCTCAGGTATGTTTTCAACCGTCGTAGTGAAGTGAACGAACGCTCAGCGTACGTCGTTATTACAGGCAGAGTCGCTAGTATGGCTAGGATCTGGAGGAGACGATGGACGTTTGGGAATAGGACCTCCGGACAGAGGTCGACCACATATATAGCGCAGACGTGACGGGCGTTTCACGTTTCTCCCTTTTGTTTTGGACGCCTAAAATTTCCCTATTTTTGCCGAAGTTTCACTTCGCGAAATTTCTCTCCATTGAGACGCCCGTCTCGATGGTCGCTTATGGATGCGATGACGTCCGTCTTGCTTTCTGCTTTGAATGTCGAAGTGGCATCCGATGCTATTCGTTATTAGATTCATCTTTTCGTTGCACGGAACATGAGAAACTACGAAGAGATAAGCCTTCATATTCTGAATTCGCAAAGATGCAAGGGTAGTCAAGTTAGTATCCACATTCGGCGTGTGGTTTGTGTGTTTGTGTGTGATGTGTCATGTTATTTCTCCGAATGACGGAACGACGCGTTCGGACTGACGACTTCTTATCGCCCCGAGGATATGCTGCTGCTGCCTTTGGACCACGGTGCAAGATAAAGCAGCCTAGCAATGATAAGACTATCTTTCCTTCTGTATCTGGTTCTGTAGCACGAATTCGTTGAAGGGAAACAGAAGCAGTTTTGTATTTGAGGAAAAACACCTAAATCGTCTTCATTTGGCCTCCGTGATCACGAATATCGAGATTATTTTTTTATTGAGCGCACGGATGCTGCAGAAACGAATATTTAAAGTATCGCTGAAGCCCCTCCTTCTTGGGGCGTGACGTCATATTAAGAGTTTTTGGAATCCCTGCTCTCACGCATCTTCAGTGCCTGTCAATGCTATGCACGCGCACTCTCGCTATCTTGAAATACTAGGTCAGAAATAGACGTAACGACAGGCGTCAGTACGGAAAAAATACACCTGGCAAGCTGGCAATTGCACGCGCTGCCCACACGCGCGACAAGCGCTTGGCTGCCCGAAGATCCTAGTATGACGTCACGACTGGTCGGAGGTTTTTCATGTTTTCTCGCGTTTAGTTACATCTTGGGGAAAACGAACGTGATACTCTGATTCACGGGATTAAAATACGCCAGAATTCACCTCTAACTCGTTTTTTTTTTCATCAAGTGTTTCTGATTCCCTTTAAACCTTTTGCAAATAATAGAGTTTGGTTTTGTGATTGTTTAGAATTACCCTCGCGATATATCTGGGTCACTAGTGTTTGTGCGTGAACGGCTGCTCTAATTTTTCAACGTCGAAATTTTTTTGTTTTGCTGCCTAATTTTTTTTGCAGCAGTCAATAGCTATCCATGATAAAAATAAACCCTGGAGAAGGGGAGCAAGAGGGACAAAGGACAAACACAAATCTCCAAACGCAGCTAGGTGACTGGTGCGCGACCGAGTTTATGTATTCGTCATTCTTGTCCAGCTCGCTTGCACCTTTGCATTTAATTGCATTCTAATTATAGCTATTCGTGTGTTTTGTCTGGACTTCATGGGTTGGTAATGCAGCGCTACCTCAAAAAGCGGAGGGAGATGTGTGCTGTGAGGAAGCTTTTAAACTTGGTAGGCCACATCTATGATGTCAGTAGAACAGCCCCCACGCCCGCCCGACCACCCCGCCCGTATTCCTGTAAATGAAGCCTGTTCCGTTTTGAAGAATGAAAATGCAGCTTTACCCGTTTTATCTTAATAGCGCCTCCGTAATCTTTGGTTCCGCGTACTTACAGCGGAGCTCACCCTGCTTCGTCATTGCGCGTAGGGGGGGGGGGGGGTGTCAAATAATGTAATTGCCCCCCCCCCCGCTCTTTTCCCATCCGAAATAAATTCCTAGCTACGCCACGGCTATTTCCAGTGCATATCTGATCGCTTTAAAGGCAGGACCTTTTATATTGTAGGACAAGTGAAAGTTTGCACTCTAAAATAGGCATATGTTTTGTTTCTTAGTAAGCCTCTGTGCACTCGACGCTATTGAATGGGAGTTTGGGTGTTCTCATGGACCAGAGAGGCGGTGTTGAAAGCGGAAGGTTGTGAGGAAGTTACCTCACTGCATGCCCCACTTAGAAGAACGACACGGAGCAGGGGTTTCAAAAGAAGGACTACAGTGTAGCCCCCTATTTTAGAACTCTATATTGTCAGGATTGTGGGTGAACGAGCATCAGTTCAATACGGCCGGGTCGGTT